AGATAGAGATATATATATATAGAGATATATATATATAGAGATATATATATAGAGATAGAGATAGAGATAGAGATACATGGCATGAAGAAAAGGTGTTGGGGTGGGTTGCAAAGTGGCTTGCAAATGTATAGCGACTAATAGACTAGATTAGAGGGCTGCTATTTATGTATCTTAATCAGATGCAAGGCCTTTAGCTGAGCCATCAGGTGATTTCTGTGAGCATTATGGTCAGCTGATTGCAGCCGAGTTAGATTTTTGTGCCAGCCTCAGCGTGTCAATCTCACTAAATGTGGGTGTTTTCTAAAATTGGTGTGGTTCCAAAACCTCAGAAACCACATCCGCTACATAATATCTTGTAATTGGGTCACACCAGTCCCAGCATCACTAACTTTTAATAGTTTAAACCAGTTAAATGGTAACTAACCACTAAAGTTCAATTTAAAAGGATTATGATTTATTTAAAAAAGACTGGTTAGCAATATATAGGGGCCTATAGGGACTGGTTTGTTTCTTTGTTTGTTTTTACATAAGATGATTCCATAAACATTCACCAAAAGGGTCCCTTATCAAATGTACTAACTGTTTTAGTTTTAAAATCAACATGTCAATGCCCTCTGGTGGGCAAACTGTGCATTATTGTCTCTGATTGTATCATACCTGCCTGGCTGCCCAGTTCTTGCGATTTCTGGTTGCTGATTGGCCGACATATATGCACCAATTTACACCTGTCGTAACGTAGCATTACCATTTGGATCTAGTGGTATTTTTGTAATTGAGTCACAAACTATGACAAATACTAATGGAAATGTACCATAGCCAAAAGTGTAATGATGACTATTTAAAAGTCAGACATCCAGAGGTTTTGCACATTGTCTTCCTTTTCCAGAATGTGGCGTAGTGGGTAATGAGCTCAATCAAGTATGTGCTTGGATCTTTTATTTCCCTTTAAAGTCTGGTCACTGGCAGGGCACTGTTCATTCTAATTATCTAGTTTAATGAACACCTCGCCACCTCAGACTGCACCTGAGCGATGTGGCCCGTGAGAGAGTGACAGGATTAAGCCAACTGTGACATTACTTGGCTATTCGAGCTTTCTGCTCTTCCTAGATATCCTCAGCAGCACACAATAATCCTGGAGCTCCCGAGTCCTGTTGTATTCTCCCCGGTGCTTAGAGAAAGATGAAGTAAACAGACTAAACGTGGCCTAAGAGGAGGAGCCAAAACAAACTGCATTTCTTTGGCAGGAGAATAGATGGTGATATTGGTTCCAAACTGAAAAAATAGCTCTGGTCTGCTAAAAGGAGATGAACTTGAAGCAGTGCCCCCATTTCCTGTATGCGCCATGCAAGTGTATTTTACCAAGGGAACTGGGCAGCTTTGAGTTCATCTGAATGTCTGGAAGCTTTTCTTAAAAAATCATTAAGTTGGCTGCTGGCAGAGAGCTGCCCTCTGTTAATTTCATTCTTCTCTTGGGAATAAATTTTATTTACTCTCCAGTCATACAGCCAGACATGTAATAAAATTGCTTTAGGGCTCTACTACCTAAACAGAAAGAAAAAAAAAATCTATATTTTTAAGGTCCACTCTTTTGCTATCAGTGGTGCTACAGAATAAAATGTGTTCGTACTCCCTAATATTGCTAATATCAGCCTCTGATGGACCTCACACATGCACAGGTTCCTTGTCAGCACATGTACTTCGATGTAGAAAGTTAAAATTTAAAATACAAGCCCCAAAAACCAAAAAAAATGAAAACAAATGATGCTTTGTAGAGTTAACCACTACCCTGCTTGCACAGTTTTCCATAACAATAACACCATGTTTTAGTACTTTTTGAAAGCATGCTGAATCGCATAGGAATTTTCAATTCGGTTGATCGTGACTAGATGTTTATTAGAGGCCTTGGTTGGCTGGTAAGCTTCTAAAAGCCTTTGAAAAATTCCAATTTTTGAGCCTTACTTAAAGTTAATGAACCCGGAACGCTTTTTTTCTTTTCACATGAATAGTGATTTAGATGGCGGTGAGTTCTCTGCTCAAACCAAAGCGCAAGAGCTCATTTTTTTCCCTCTCTCTCTCTTTTTCCTTTCAGGGAATAAGCCTGCGTCTGCTTGAAATAGAAATATTCACACCAGCGATTTAAAGTGCATAGCAAATGAGAGGAGTGTGTGGGAAATGCAGTAAAAGTTTCATTGGGCGTATCCTTGCCTACACTTTCTTACTGATGTTGGGAGTGCCCCCTGAAAATTGAAAACTCCCTTTTCTTTTCACTTTCTCCCTCTCGCTGCATTCTCTTCAGCCCTTGTCTCTCCATCTGCAGTGTTTGCTTACTCTTGCTTTCTCTGATGTGCTGTGGCAGCCATCTTGCCGGTCACGACTGGCTGCTCTGGAGCACTCTACAGAGCTGCGTGACAGCATTTGGGGTCCCTGGACATTACCAAACCCACCCCCAAGTGCATGGACACACCTCTTCTAAAAACATCTTTTTTTTTCTTCCTTTTTAATCTGGTTTGTAAAATATTCTGGTTCTCACACCCTCTTCCCCTTCCTTTCAGTATCGTTCCTAGTCATCCCCCCTCTTTCTCAACAAGACAAACCCTTGGATGCACTGCCTCGGGTTTCAAGACAAGGAGATTTGACTTGCATGAGGTCTTGGCCTATGCATCTCTCCTTTTAAGGCGCTCTCAGTGTGTGTGCATGTGTGTAAAGCGCATGCTAATGTGGGTTGGTGTTGGTCCTTGCAATCAGACTGAAGATGACAATCCAGGGGGGCACATTGTGTGAGCCAGCACTCTGAGCTCCACAGATGGAAGGAGAGATAAGGAGACGGCGAGCCTTAGACAGAGACAGGAGAGGGCCGCTATCCACTTCCACACTTCACTTTTTAACTTCGTTTTCGATTCGCACCTCACAGATCCAATAGCCACTATGAAACCAGCTTTTGTGAGTATTGATTCCCTTACAGGCAGCAGCTCTGCTAGAGGCTCATTAATCTTGTCTACATGCTATGACTGAACAGAATGAGAAAATAATGAATGCTTTTTAGCATTTCTGTGGATATTATATTTCTTTTAAAGCCTTTCTGATTGGTATTCACTGATTGAAGCTGGTTGCTTTATTGATAAAGAAATAAAAGGGAGACAAAGTGAGGCGCACACCCAGATTATCCTGCCCTTTCTTCAAAAACCTTGTCCTCTCTGATGTTTTTAAGCCATGCATCATTGTCTTTGCTCTCTTTTTTTCTTTTTAATCCATGTTCATGGGATCATTAAGGGTTTGGCTATGCATTGGTTTTCTGTGTCCTCATTGTTTGCTAAGCAGTTTCATGTGTTTGACTTGCTGAGATCAAACCAAACTGTGGGTGTGTGTCAGAGCTCCAGTGCAGCCAACGAGGTAAATCTATTCTCTGATCCCCACCAGGGGGAGGACACAGGAGAGCCACGGGGGGCTGACGCGTGCAGCTACTGCTTGGTATAACTCTAGTAATTATTTGCAAAGGAATGCCCTTCCTGTTTTAAGTTTAACTGGGAATATTTATGTGTAATGCGGAATGAGTGGTCAAGGTTTCCCAGAGGGGACGTTGTTCATAAAAACATAAGCATGACATTGGGCTATTTCAGGAGGATGTTCATGGGGCTGCTGACAGTGTTTTGTCCCACTGTGGCATTGAGGTCTTGGCACCTGCTACAAACAGGGTTGTGTTTGTGTTCCCCTTGATGCTTTTCACTAGTCCGTAGTTTTCGTCCAACCCTTGTTTTGGTGCCAGCTTGCCAATTTGAGGCTGGTGGTCTGGGCACACGGTCTCTGCTGCAGCCTTTTGTTTCACCCTCTACACACTGCCAGGCGTCCTTTAGCTCTGCCGCCACCCTTTCTCTCGGCTTTAGTTGGGCATTGTTCAAGGCTGTTAATGAAAAGACAGTTTGTGTTTTCACATCCCGGTAGGACAGCGGACCCGTTATTCTGCTAAGTCACCTCAGGGCAGCAGGCCTACTGTGAGGAGCATGATAAATGGCTTCATGCGCCTTTAATCTCACCCTGACCATTTCGCAACACTGCTGGCTCTTCAGCTGTTGACCTCCACCTCCTGGGTGACTTCTGACCCCTCTCATTGTACCCCTGTGCTCACAGTGAGGCTCTCTAACAATGGATGCCTCTCCATTTCAGTTCTCTGCATTGATTGAATCCTGCAGCACAAAAACACACCCATCTCTCCTCTCCTCTATTAATTCTCATGACACTGAGCATCCTAGTTCCTGACCATGAAATTCAGAAGCCTCTTCTTGCTGTGAATGTGATTTACTTTGAGGAAATCACTGGCTGGCATCCTCTGATAAGGATATATTTACCCAGCTCCAACACACCTACCTTTCTGGATAGCTGCCTTGAACTCTCATTGGACCAGCTAACATTCCCTTTTCCATTATGCTGGATAAGTGAGGCCAATACAGCAGGACTGAACATCGATGTGCTTTTTTTTGTTGTGATTTGTGTGTACGTTCATGTGTGTACATTTCTTTAAATAGGAAAAAAACATCTGTGCTTTATCTTAAGTGACATTTTAAATGCATCCAGTTTATTTTGTTTATCCACAGTAGTGAGTATATTTTAAATTCTCCTTCAGTGTTTAAAAGTACAATGGCCTGTCTTATCTCCTGAATGGTGGAGTAAAAAACGTGGGCAGCTGAACTGTGTGTCAAAGATGCGATTGATGGGAGCATTATCCTCCCTCGAGTACAGACCTTGGCCACTTTAATGAGGCAAAGAGCACTGCCTTGTCTTCATTAACTCAGGTGCTGCTACTGCTTATGCATGTGTGTGATTTTACAGATTAGACCCCCAGTCGAGGCCAGCGCTCATCAGGGGCTTTCTAATTGCTTTTGTCCTGCCGAGGCCTAATAATTTAGTTTATTATCAGAGCAACATAAACCTGTCAAGATCAGTTTGATATCATAACTTAAGGAAAATAAGCAGCCATGCCTAGGTGAACAGAAACTCTAATGAAGATGTAGTTGGTTTGTGTTTTTCTCTTTTATTTCACCACTAGAAGAAAATCTAAGGAATCCAAGAAGCAACAGCAACTACATGCTGTTCATGTTAGAGCTATTCTTATTTTTTTTGGGGGGGGGCCGCATCTCTCCCCAGCATCATCCTTCTTTCCTAAAATGCTTCATACTAACTGAACCATCACCGTAGAAAAGTCTGAGCACACAATGTCTCACATGCTTTCAGTATGTGTGACATGCATCCAGAGACTCTCGTGTAAAGAGGAGGCAACTACTTTTGATCACTCATGTTTGCTCTTTGCTCAGCTAGAAGTTGTGTTCCCACTCCACCGTCAGCTTTCCTGTTTAACGACATAGAATGAACATGTGGACGGCAGTTATTTGTTGAGCTCGTGTGACTAATCTACCATCTGCCCAATATGCAGGACTCTAATCAAGAGTATGGTGACTTCACACTGGGCAGATGGATATCAAAAATAATGCCATTCTCTAACCGTCCTTTGTCTCACACCTCTTCTCGCCAAAACTTTGGCATTTTCCCTCTGCCGTATTGAGGACTGATGGTGAACATGAATGTTGAGAATGTGGACATGAGGAAGGAATTGTACTTTACACTGAGGCTGAGTGTGTGATCCTGAGCTTTTGTGTTTATATTTCTTCACTTCCTATGACTACACTGATTATTCATAGATCCAGTCATAACAGATACATTTGTTATGCACTAAACGTGTGCGCTTTTCCATCTGGAATGGTGTTTCTTTCAATTTAGAATTTTTTAAAATCTCCTGTCAAGAGTGTTTTTTGTGTGAAACAGGATGATTATAATAACACTGCCAGAGGATAGTTGGCACAGTGTGGATACACACTTTGAATGGGAAGAAGGCGAAACAAAACGATGAATTCTCTCTCAGCAGACACCGGCGACTTCTGACTCCCCAAAACAAAGAAGATCTAATTCCTCCGACAGCGTAAGATGTCAATCTTCTGGTCCTTTTGGGTTTTGGCTCTGTCCTCTACTGGGGCATTCTTTGTAGAGGTAGATGGGATCCTTTGAGGCTTTAGGAACCCTTTTGGAATAACATTAACTCAGATTATTCATTTCTTTTTCTAAGTCCAGAAGCTTCAGTTTGTGACTGGGTTACCAGTCTGGCAGCAGCATACTAAAATAGATGCATCATTGTTCAACGTTAATATCTTTCTCTGCCCTTCTGACATTAATCTTCTAATTATGCACTATTTCACTGCTGAACATCCACCTGCTGATCGATGATGAAAAAAACCTGCTACTTTGGTTTTCCAGTGTCGATTTATTATCTCATATATAATTATGCTAATGGGGTCATCAAATATGTCTGGGGGCTTTTTAAGGAGCGAGGACATTCAAATTCGGATAAAACTTCTCCAGCTGTAGTTTTATCTGTTCACTCTAGTTTATACAACATGACCTCATACTCAAAGTAGTCAGAGTACCTGACAGGTGTGACAGCAGCACAGTCGGTCTCTCCGTTTGCATTGAATTCACTCCCAGTGTCCATGCATATTCAGCTGTGGGCCACTTTAAAGGGAACCACGATTCTGTGCTGTGGCAGATGTAATATTGCAGTTTCATGTCCCACTGCTGCTTCGCTTATGAATACATTTCTATGAAATGACAGTATTGTGTTTTTACAAGTCCATGAGCGGCATGTGCATGTGATGTGTGTATGTGCGTGACTTACTGTGATTGGAAACCAACTGCTGGTGATGTTCACATGCATTATGTCATGATGCATGAAATTACTGCAAGAAACGTCAGGTTTCTGGGCATAGTTTCAGCTGTAGCTTCTCACTCTCAGTCTTGCTGGGTTTCGAACCCTTTTTGTGTTTTGTCTACGACGCTTCAGTCGTCTTGAAACATTTGTTACAAGCATTGGTTTAAGCATCAAGACACAGTTAAACCTGCTCCAAAACTCTCTTCACTGAGAGCTTTATAAGTACATGGGAAGCTTAAACTACCAGACTTTGTTCTGTATTATTTTTCCAGACTTGTGCACGTTCTCTTTTAACTTGTTTATTATAATTATCCTTTTGTTTTTGACCTTATTAGAGTCGGACGGTAAGACCGGCATGCCAGTATAAAGCAGCATTTTTGTGCCTGTTGTCCCCTACGTGCAGTCAAGCCCTGGTTACTCATTTAATGTGGGACAATAGCAATGATTGTTTTAATGTGACCATAAATAGGATATAAAGGCACTCAACCGTCTCGGTCCTCAAGCTGTCCTTTAACATGTCTTTGCAAAATCACTGCAACCTAATTTTCTTCTTGCTGACATACTCATCATTTGCTCTCACAGGGACAGTGTATTATTGCTTTAGGGGCTTTTCTCTGTATTTTTGCTGGTGAAAGGTGGTGGCCAAACTCTGATCACTCTTCCAAGCCCTTACATTTTGTTTTCTCCCCCCTCTGTTCCTGTCTTCAGATCGAGAAGATGATGACTATGATTGGTGCAGGCATTGATTTTTCCAGAGATCAGCAATACGCTACACCAGGTAGAGTATAAATACTAATATTGTTGCTTTTTCAAGCAAGTTAAAATGACTTAATTTAGTTGTGAATTTGACACTTGTCAAGGAAACCTGAAGGAAAACAGGAAGAAATGGGTAGTTTTCCATTAGCTACTCATCTGTTTAATAAATGTGAGCAAAAGCACCTTGTATTAATTCATTATTTATCTTTTTGTGGGTGTGGATGTTAATGAAACGGCTGCCTTTATTGCCAAATAGTGGGCTTTGAGTGCTTGGAATTTGATTTATACTATAGTTATATTTATTAGATCCTCACCCTGAACCTTAAAAATATATTAAACAAGTGCATGGCAGTGATAGTAGAGAGGAGAGCTCTAAATACAGATTAGCGGGCGATCGTGGCTCAAGAGTTGGGAGGTCGCCTTGTAATCGGAAGGTTGCTGGTTCGAGCCCTGGCTTGGACAGTCTTGGTCATTGTGTCCTTGGGCAAGACACTTCACCCAATGCCTACTGGTGGTGGTCAGAGGCCCGGTGGCGCCAGTGTCCAGCACCCTTGCCTCTGTCAGTGTACCCCAGGGTGGCTGTGGCTACAATGTAGCTTGCCATCACCAGTGTGTGAATGTGTGCGTGAATGGGTGAATGACTGAATATGTAAAGCGCTTTGGGGTCCTTAGGGACGCTATACAAATACAGGCCATTTTAGTTACAAATGGAGGTTTGGGTACAAAAATACTATTTTAGAAATTACAGGTTTGTTTTTTATAGAACAAATGACAAAGAAAAGAGTCTAAAACGTTTCTTTTAGAAGGCGTGTGTCATCCTCCACTGAGATTTGACCCCTTGGTTTGTTTTGTGTCTCTGTTTTTCTGAGGCAGTAATTCAAGCTGTGGTGTCTGACATGAGCCAAGTACTAAATCTGCATCATAACGTACCAGGATCTTTATTTTTAAAACCAAAGTGCCTGAGAGAGAACCTGTATTACAAGCAGCGTAAGGACTGTAACCTGCTCTGCTGTTATTCTGCTTTTCAAAGCCTGTCATTAAGGTTTGATGGATGGCGTCCAAGGATTGTAGCAGCAACCCGAGCAATCAAATCTTTCCCTTCAGCTCTCCCTGTTGACATTCTTCAACATCCACTGTCAGTCACCGCCGTGCCTGAGCAATCTTTTTAATATATTTAAACAAAGCAGCACATCCTCTTTTCCTTCGCCAAACTCCATCGTCTTATTCTAGCCCTGTGGTTTGCTGTGCCCTGCGCTGGATTGGGCTGTTTAAATATTAACCACTTCTGTACGTATGTCAGGGGGTGAGCTCATTGTGCTTTGGAGGAAGCAGACTTTGTAGAAAGCTGACACTGCTGCAGTAAAGTAGTTAGCATCCCATCACGGGCACTTGGTGTGAAGTTTCCATGAGTCTGATTCCACTTCCATGCGTGTGTGAGCCTTAACCTTGTAGCTACCACGCTCACAGCTCCAGCTCAGTGGAGCAGACCATCGGGGGACTCGGTCAAGAGGAGGCTCTCTGTTTGATGTGATAAACCGCATCACTTTTTTCCCTCCCTCTACTCCTTCATTTGGTCCGGTGCTCGGCGGTGACGTGCCGAGTTGATTGGCTCTGTGCCTCCAGTCTGTATCTTCACTGATTTACCTTTAGAAAGAGAATGTGTAAAAACAATGGACTGAGGTACAGATGCTGCAGGAACTTGAGAGCATATTAGGGGTGGGTGGGAGGGGGGTTGTAGCTGAAATGGTAGCTAGCTCTGATAAAGAGCAGCCACCTGCAGTGTTACAGAGGGAGAGAGAGGGAGTGGGGAAGTGTATGCATTGAAGGGGGGTAGAGAGAGAGAGGAAGGGAGGAGAGAGGAATTGCAGGCAGCAGAATTGTGATCAGTCAGGACAATAGGAGGATGTAACTTCTGCAGGACTAGGTTATCTGCTCTTTAGCTAGGAGCAGCTAAAAAAAAATGTTTCTTTTAGACCTCGTCTGTTGCCGGACCGCATCTCTCAGATAATCTTAGCGCTCTCTCGTCTGCAGAGGAGTTAATCCTGGGAGTGAGCTATCACTGAAAGTGCTTTTTGAAGGAGCTGATCGGATTCTTGACTGGATTTTTTTTTTTTTTCTTTTCTCCTTGACAAATTTTCAAGCTTATGAAATGTCTGAACGGAACTTTTGACATGGGACCCTCATCTGGAACGTGACTGTTTATGCAGCAGGTTTAAATGATAAGACAGCCGACAAGCAGAAAAGGAAACTTTCAAATCTGTGTTTTATAAAGAAATGTTATGTTTTCGAATTTAACGCTGTTTACTTTTCTAAGCTGCCAGATTTCACAAGGTAGAAAACGATTGACTCTGTTAGCCTCTGTGTTTGAGGGGTAGTTAATATATTGGGAGGTAACTACCTGTGCAGTGATTGGTTTCTAGTGTGGAGTGTGTATTTGCTTTGAAAGAGAGTTAAAGAATTCCAGTAACATGTTCACTGGAGGAGAGGCACCAATCTGTCTTTGTATAGGTTAGACTGCTGACAGCTGTCACTATAGTGTTGCTCTGTTATCAATCTCCGTTCATTGCAGTCATGTCACAGGTTTCCTTTAGTCCCTCTGCGTTTTTTGCTTGTCCTGCTGCTTCCGATGTGGACAGTGGCACATCACAGGTAGATTCCTGTTTGGATTGTCCGTGGGGGATTATATGTTAAACAGGTGGGATATGTGAGTCTGGGATCCAATTATTTACCAAATACCTGTCTTGGCTACAAGTCTGGATCACTTACACTTGGCTGCAACAAATCTACTACCCTGGAAGAACTTAAACTAAAGTTATACGCTCCAACCTGAGTGTTATTGTAAAGTTAAAGTGTAATTAAAACAGCCCTAATTTTTTATTTTTTTTTATTTTTGGGCAGAAAAAGGTACCTCCTGAAATGGGACACTCTGACTTTTTTCATAATCAGATATGAAATATTCAGTCATATTTGTGAGTTAGGTGAGGCACCGCGCTGTGTGCTAAACAGAAATGTATTTCAGCATTCTCCTGGCTCACTATCATAGCAAAAATATATTCTTTACTTTTTAGATATTATCCATTTTTTTGTGGATTTATCCCTTTTATCTTACCTTCACCCCCGACTCGGGGGTAGTTTCATCTATTTCGAGTGACTGTTGTTCAGCCCCTGCTGTCCTGCGGGAGCTGACGCCTTGTTCACAGAGGACACTGTCTCCCTCACGTTCCTGCTGCTGGTGCGCTCGGCTCTGCTGGCCGAGAATGATGTGGCAATGCCACGTCTCGTCCTCGGAGTGCCGCTGCTACCGGCTGAAAGGTTTCTCACTCCTGAAGCGCTTTCCCCTGTCAGCAGGTGCTGCAGGCCGACTGCTGGACCAGCCCGTGGGAGACTGGCTGGAGCATGTGGGTCTGCCGCAGTACGAGAGCAAACTACTCCTGAATGGATTCGACGACCTTCACTACATGGTGAGTGCCTCACTTACTTCATTTTCATTACTGTCTTTGGTTCATATTTAATTCTCTCGCCTGTTTAGCCATTTATTTTCAGTTTTTAAGTCTTTGAAGACTTTTTTTTACCTTTTCCCTGTACTCTAAAGTATCATATTTGCATCATAGGTATTTGCATTATTTAGTGCTTGGTGTTTCAACTTTTCCATCTGTTCTGGTGACTCCACCTTTCAACTTAGCCGATGCAGCCTGAGCTCAGCTCCTGTCAGATAGTTTGTTTGATACTGTTACCTCTGGTTTAGTGTTGAATCAAGGCTGTCCTGGATCCTCACACTCTCAGACGGTTTGTCTCTGGCCTGGGAGGCGATTGTCGTGGCTTCTCGTTAACAGTCAGAGAGCCGGCTGCCAACAAAGCAGCTGATGCCCGACCAGAAGGGAGAAGAATCTTGATGAGTAATGGGGTGCTATTGCCAATCTGACAAGTTTATAGAGCCCAAAGTGTGCGATGCCTCTCTGAGTTGGCTCAGTTGCTTTTCTCAGTCCTGAAGTCTGATGAAGGGGCACAGCTGGCAGTCTGAACCGGTGGGAAAGTTGAGAGATAAGCATCCTATTTGTCAAGATAAGAACTCACATTTCTATCAGACTTATGAAAATCTGTTGTCCACAGTGTGTTTTATTTGTTACAGTGAAGGTTTTTATGTTTTTCAAACACTACTGTAGATTCACACATGAGTTATAAATGTACTCAAGATTCCCTCCATGTGGACTTACTACTTACCACAAAGTAAATGAAGCCAGATCCAGAGCGCTGCGTATAAACAGGAACACAGCAGCAACAACAAAACAGAACAAGTTCCCTTAGCGACTACAAAAATAATTCATAAATCACTGTGTTGGGTGCAAATTAAACTTTTCATTTCAGCTGAAAGAAAGAAAGGGTCTCGGGCACTTTTAATTTGAATTTGAATGAACTGTGCCTCAGATGAGTGCGACTATGAGAAGCTGACAAAGACTCCAAAGAATATGGTCTCTTAGACACTCAGCGTATTGTACGTAAGCATAACAGCTGTTTCCTTGTGCAAATCAGAAGATATACACCTCTGTTTGTAAGCTCCACAACACACGACAGCAGATGTAAACAGACATACACGTTTCAATTTATAAGACCCTGAGATTATGTGATATAGCAGCAATATTAAAACCAGTACAGACATTTAAAGTTCAAAAACTACAAAACAAAACATCGATCTCTCTGAGGGAAACATTTACTACAATTTAAAAAAAAAAAAAAAAAAACAAAAAGAGAGGACAAAAAAAAAAAAAAATATATCTCTCTCTTCACACACTTTTTTTTCTTTGAGATTATCAAACCTTTTAAACAATTTTTATAAATAAACTTGAACTTTAAATTCGAAATCATTAACCTTGAGCTTTGCAAAACTGGATAGAATAAAGACGATATACAGGCAACTTCATTTGGTATGCTAATGATGTATACTAATCAGGTGTTCAATCTAATTGGGTTTGTAGTAACGCGATGCATTTAGGCATGCAGACACTGTCAGGATGACCTTCTGAAGTTTGAACGGAGCGTCAGGATGGAAAAGAACAGTGATTTAAATGGCTGTTGGTGTCAGACAGCCTGGACTGAGGATTTTCCTACAAAATGATTTCTAGGGTTTTACAAAGAATGATCTGATAATGTGAAAATATCCACATCTCTGGGTGAAAATGTCTTGTTCATGCCTCGAGCTCACTGGAAGGCAACTTGGAAGTAACTCCAGTAACCACTTGTTACAACCAATGTATGCAGAAGAGCATCTCTGAACTGCAGAAGACCACACAAGGTGCCACTACTGTCAGCTAAAGACCGCAAACTGAAGCAATGATTAACACAACCTGACCAGAATTAGACAATAGAAAACTAGAAGATCACTGTCTGGTCTGACGCCAGATAAAGGTCATCACTGATTGTCAGTATCTGTATATTTATTTCTTTACCTCTGCATGTAAGGCTTGTTAATTAGACTTCAATATTATAAATTTAGTGTTTCTTTGGTTTAAGCTTCAGTTGTTTAATAAATAAAAAATGTGTGGCTGCTATCAAACTATATCTGTCTAATTTCAGTGCACTCTGATTCTTCCATAAACAACCTTTTACTCTACTTTACATAACCCGAGAATAGAGAATTCATCCACTTATCAGCCTCTCCGCTTGGAGAAAGCGTGATCCACACCCATGTTTAAGTACGTGTTGAAGCCTCTGAAGTTTCTCTCGGGGTTTAATCTTCCTACTGTCTTTTAGGCTTTCACACTCCTTTTTCTCAGGCTTGAGTCGTCTTTTTATTCCAAAGCGGCAAGCTGGCAACATTTCTATCTTTAAACATGGCTTACTAACCACCTGGCTTCCTAAAGTCGCTGCAGGGTTTAGAGAAAAAGCTGTTACCTCTGAACAAAACAACGTGTCCCTCCCACAGCAAATGTTGACCTTTTTTTTTTTTTTTATGAATCACAATTTAGTCTCAATTGGAAATTAGAATTACCCTCTGAGTCACCTTGCCTTTGCTAAACTTTTATAATTTAATCTATGCATTAGTGAATAGAGCAGAAACGAGCCATATTTCGTTCTTGGCTGAGTTGCCAGTACTGTGTACAGATATGCCTGTCAGCCAATCCACTTTTATCTTCAAGGGACTGATCACCTTCTGTGTTCGACTTTCAAAACAACAATCTAAAAACACTTCAGACTCAGAAATAGATGCAGAGTCATGATATTACTCTTATGCATTTCCTATGAGCTGCTAAAAGACGGGCAAGATGCCAGTATTTTAATTGAAATGTTCACACTTCATCATCAAATTTTAAACAATGGTAAGAAAATGGTCCTTCTCTGAGTTAGGTTGTTAGACATACTATTTATTTTTCCAAGTATGCTTATGTAGCAGCGAGATCACTAATTAAACAGTGTTTACTCTGCCACTCGGCCAACTGTGATGTGTGTCTCCCCTGCAGGCACGCTCTAGAAGCAGATCAATAACAGCAGTGAATGTATTGTGTTCAAGCAGCGTTGCAGAGACGAGCCTTTTTCTGAAACCAATTAGATGCTTTTTATCGACTCGTGGAGCAAATGTCCCGATGAAACAAGCGCTGCGCAATCATGCTGTTCTCCACCGCTCGTTGGTGCTGACAAGTAAAGCCTGTTGAAATGAAATGGCTCTTTTTCTCTGTGTTAGACTTCTGCGCTGTGACACAGTCGGCAAGTTCGTTTGTATTCAAAGCGACTGAGACTGACGGTCTTCTGGCGAGGGCGTCTGGATCTGACTTTTATGCGGTCAGCTGAGGGAGAACAAATTTACTTTGAGTTTCAAATCAGTGGAGGTGGCTGAGGATTTATAAGGAGAAAGACTTTTTTGTTTGTTTGGTTTTTGGTTTTTTTTGGTTTGGTTTTTTTTTTTTTTTTTAGAAAGAGTTGGTCAGATCTAAAAGTTGCATCAAGGTTAGGCAAACCTTTTCTACTTCTGAGCTGCATTCATGTAATCTAAATTCATGATGTTTTCGTGACCCCCAACCCCCCTTTTTCTGCCTTTTAATAAATGCAAAGGGCTCATGCTGCAGCGAGGGACCAAACCCTGCGGAAAAATCCAGTAATGGCTTCCTGCATCCGAAGCTAAAGGACTGGGAATGGATTGATTGATTGATTTTTATTTTTTTTTTTGGCTTAGATTTGTTTGTTAATTTGAAAGAAACATTTTTTTTTTTAATGTTCTGTCATCGTTTCATTTGCACTTTTCTTTTCAGGTCTGAGTGGTCTCATGGCAGCCAGTTTAGGAGGACAAACTGAGTCTTAGTGCTGTTAGGTAGCTGTCCTTTAGAGGGTCAGAATGAGTGATCCGTGCCCCTGAGCACCCAGCCTGAATTCAGAGTGCTTTTAAACCAGGGAGGCCACTGTGGCTGTTCTCTGGATAGGCCGAGGAGGAACAGAGCAGCATTTTAATGAGAGGACGGAGTAAAGCAGAGCTGGACAAGCTGCACAGGCACAAAACAGGCCCAGCTTACACTGCTGTAAATGTATTCTGTTTGCCAATGTTGTGCTGATATTGGCGTTCTCTCTACTAATGTACTCCTTGAAACCTGCCAACCCTGTGGAAGCACATTAGCCAGAAATTTCCCCACAGAGTTGTCACCACCACATCATGCTGTTTGTGTTTTCAGACTCTTTGAATGAGGATAAATGGCTTATCCAGATATAGCAGAGGTGAATGTAACACTTTACATGAAAGGAAATGAGAATTTTTATTAAACCAGGTGTGAACAAACATTCTTCACCTAACAGGTGTTCAGTTCACTCCAGTTTGGTTTGGTTTAGTGAGGTGTGTCCAGAAGCAAAATGTTGATTAGTGTTCAAAGTTATTTGCTTTATCAGTCAGGTTGTCATTCAACCATCAAGCCATTAATCATGGGACTGAACTGGGAGTCATTTATTTATGTCTAAGCTTACCCAGGTTAACTTCAACATGAAATCAAATTATCCAAGGACAAAAAAAGATTGAAAGAAATGAACAAAAGAGCCCTGTGTCAGCTTGGCGACTTGTCCAGGGTGTACCCAGGGTCTCGCCGTATGATGGCTGGGATGGACTCCAGCACCCACACAACGCTGATGTTTCCTTGGCTTGCCTCAGTGATAGATGTCATAAAACAAATATTAAAGTCTGTAAAGCCCAATAAACAGGATGATTTCGAAGTGATGAGATAACATTTCTGCACATCTGCCAGAATTAGCAGAAGACACATGAGAAAATCAGAGTGGTAGGAAAATGAACAAATCAGGAAATGGGCAAAGAGTGTAAACCCAGTCTGTTACAGCTGTATTCCCCCGCATAGAGACATTTATCAGCTAATCTCCAGTGGGACAGTAATGCAATGATCCATGCACTTTGAAGCATTATCATCCATTCAGCCCCACAAACCATATCAGTCCTCAGCTAGAGAGGCAGCAATCAGCATGTTGCTGCTCAGAGATAATGGGCTTTCAGTTGTCAGTTTCGTGTGAGGCAGTGTGAAGGCAAAAGAGATGATACATAATGTCCTGTGCTCAGTGTGGGCTGAAGCCAAGATCATAGTGAGTTCTGATCAATAAACTCACTCGGAGCATTCAGGTACTCATATTTCTGCTTTCCGTCTTCCTTCTCCGGATTTCCATCGACAGGCTGGATCGCAGCCTATTAGAAATTTCAGCATGAACAGGATGGCAGTGTAAAAGTCTGTCAGTGTCTTAGCTGAATTGTGATTAGCATTGTGATTCCACAGGCAGCATTACAAAGATTGCTCTGCAGCATTTACTCTAACAGACGCACTCCTCCCCGCTCCTCATGCTCTCCGCCCCTTGTTTGCATCAACGGCATCTGCATGAAAAACAGGCTGTCAAGTTTGACCTACAGACAGCATCTCTGCTATGCCATTAGTGGTGTGTGTGTATGTGTGCGCAGCAGTGAGCACCACAGGATTAACTTTAGGTTCATATTGAAGAGTCAGCCCTGAGGCGGCGCCTTCTCTGGACCGTAGTGATACTGGCAGATGAGAGTTAGCTGCTGACTCCCCTGTAGAAGCACTACAGCTAGCATTCATGGTTTATATCCAACAGGCAGGACTTGTGACCCTTACCCACTTCTTATTGGTCAATCTGAGCATGGTTAAGTCAGTTTAATTCAGTTTAACAGACGGCAATTCCTTCAACCTCTGCTAACTGGCTAGTCCCAGCCCTTGCCATCCTGTGGTTTTGACTACCAGTTCAATTGCTGGGTGGTTGTTGTTTTGGTCCTATCAGTTATTCAGCTGCTTCTTGGAGAGATTCACGTTCTATTCCACCCTCCTGCAGTTGAAGACAGTAGTCTTTCTTCTCCTCTGCAGATGCTCAGACCTGAAAAGACTACTGTAACCAGGGTCTAACAGTGGGAAATTGTTAATAAACAAGACCCACAATCATCAGCTGTAATCTTGGAGTTCTTTCATTCACCTCAGAGGCAGCTGATTATGTTGCTCAGTAAAGCTGCAACATTAAGTGTGAAAACCCCAGAAGCTTTATTATGAATCTGTTATCGTTTTAATCTAAATCTGTGGGAAACACTGTTTACTGTCTTGTGACTGTCTTATTTGGTCTGTTGTACCATAAAATTGTTTAATATGGAACTAAAATAAATGAATAAATGATGTTCGGTGTTCAAATAAAGGCTTTCCTTTTACGTGTCAAGGTGTTTTGATTTCCCCCGCGGCTGTCGTCAGCTATCGATGCGCCTCCATCTCATAACGCTGCCCACTCTGCAACTCAGACATTGATTCATCCCTCCCTTCTCCATTATCTGTTTGTTGCCACTCAGTCTCCAAAGGTGATATCGTGTGTAACCAAAGACTGGTTTGAACATCAATCACCACATTCCTGTCAGTACCACCCCCCCACACACACACACACACACACACACTTAAGTCTCATTTAAGGGGTTATCGATGTGGCTCCTCTGGTGATAGTCACTAAGTTGAGTTCTAGGGAGGCTCTCAGTCAGGAGTAATTCACCTTTTTATGCAATGGTAGCATATTTGTGATCAATTCTCACGTTGCACTGAAGGCTTTTAGCTTGGAGGGTTCGTCTTAATTATATATAATCTTAAATCAAAGGAGTCTGTGTTTCGGGATTTTCATAGATGACTTGAATAAACTACGTAAAATAACAAAAACTGTCTTTTACTAAATGGTAACTTAAATTACTTTATTCTGACACAGTTTAATGTACCTTGCTTTCTAATGACTTTCATGGGTCTTAGACTAGAAATGCCAGTAACAAAAATGCTTGTTTTGTATGTTGCTTTAAAGGGGAGCAATGTAATGGAGGACCAGGACTTGAGAGAGATTGGAATCGCAGATCCGAGCCACAGAAAGAAGATCCTGCACGCAGCACGTTCCTTTCCAAAGGTGATAAATCATTGATTCCTACTTTAGTACTTCTCAGACCCAATTCAGTGTTTTGCATTTGCTTTAATGTTAGATGATTAAGTAATATTCTCACCTTAGACCCAAGTGTCTATTGCATTTATGGAAATTAACAAGTTAATTTGTGGGTTAGGCATACGGCTGAGCAGGAGCAATAGTGCTTAATAATGAAGTCGAATGCGGTTTGGCGGTGGGCTTGCTTTATCTTATTGTATTGGGAGGTTTACTTGTGTTATAAAAATAAAATTAAACTAAAACACCTCTGCAGTATTGTCACTTTAATTTGTATTGCTTTAGCTCATTCTGCTTGTATACAAATATACATCTGTGGGGGTTATTGAAACCAGAACCCTTCAATTTCCTGCCAAGGAAAATTGGCTAAATTTGCAGCATATTGGTTCAGCCAACGCCCTGAATTCCTCAAAGTGTCTGTGAATGATTACGTTTTCTGCTGCAGGTGAAAGCGCTCGGCTGTGACGGCAGCAACTCCCTGTCCTCCTGGCTGGAGAATCTGGGCCTGCATGAGTACTTGCAAAACTTCCTGTCCAGCGGCTACCGCACTCTGGACTGCGTCAGAAACCTGTGGGAGCTGGAGATTGTCAATGTGAGTCACAGTGATGTACAAGGACAGTGGGGAGTATCAGAGGGTGAAATTAGTCTTCAGGTGTCTTGGGGGGAAAAAAAAAATCAGGATAGGGAAACGAGTTTGACGGTTTACTTCAGGTTCCCCCCCCCAAACTGAAGCAGGAGGCTAAAACTGAAGGTGAATGTGTATTTGTGTTGAATATTGGGAAATGGATTCTAAAGTCTCACTCAAAAAAAATTAATTGAGATTTTCACGTTTGAAAACAAGAACTGAAATTACTTGGTTAGAAGATGACACGTCAGACTTCACTGGTCTGTGAGGAAATGTGTTGCCTTTTGCTACTACTGGGAAGGGTCTCTGAAAGAAACATGTTTTCTTGTTCACTCCAAGATCAGTGCTGCATTCCTCCATTTCTGTGTGCAATACCATCACCTGTAGATCAGTGAAGTAATGTCAGACACTGTATCGCTGCATGAACGTGTGAACTTGTGCAATCCCGTATGTAGATTCAAGATTAACAGAAGAGAAGAGACTCTGAGGGGAAACAGCTTCACATGGAGAACCATTAAAGGAACCTCACAAATGAAGTAGCGGTGCCTAATGTGTTGTTTTCTGGCATTTCCTTTTGTGCTGCTCAGTATGATCACTTCATAATTTTCTTTTTTACAGGTGCTAAAAATTAGCCTACTTGGTCACAGGAAACGCATCATCGCTTCCTTAGCGGAGAGGCCTTATGAAGAGCCTCCTGTCAAACCTCCTCGTTTGTCTCAGATCAGGGTGAGGACCTACAAACTACTTTCCTGTGTAAAAGTGCTTCACAAAATGTTTCTTGTTTACTCTTCACTCAACCAGATCTGATGTTTGAATACTGTCCGACAAACTTAGGCTTACGTTTCAAATTCTTTATTTTTAGCCTGTAAATGTTGCAAAGCATATTGACAAAGATGAATGCCGGATAGCTAATGATAGAGAGTGCATCTGACATGAGACACCCAACTGTGTCATATTACATCTCCGCAGTGCCAAGACCTGCCTGGATCCCAGACTTCATCTCCCATGAGTCAGATGGAGCCCTACACAGGACGCTCAATGGACCCTCTGCTGCCTGCAGGCGAGCCAGGGAGGAAAAAAGCACAAGAAAACGACTATGACGTTACCCAAAGATATCGCAGCGAACGACACAGGCCTCCTGTATGTGATATATCTACGAGTGTGTTAATGGTTATTGAGGGCCTCTGCCAGGCTTCTTTGATAGTTATGGTTATTTTTATAGGAGCGACATGAAGACTGGCAACGAGAGCCCCGCCTGACCTTGCGGCCACCTAGTCTAGCAGCACCGTACGCCCCGGTTCAGAACTGGCATCACCAACCAGAGAAACTCATCTTTGAATCCTGCGCTTATGAAGCTAGTGTACGTCTGCACCATTCTCCTTCCTACATGATTCCGCTTCGTTGATTAAACGCATCAGCAGTAATGTCTTTTTCCCCTCCATTTCATTACAGTATCTTGGTTCCATGCTTATTAAGGAACTAAGGGGCACTGAGTCCACGCAGGATGCTTGTGCCAAAATGCGGGTATGACAAGTTTCTCCAATCCCTGAGGATAAAGTCATAGATATTGTTTGCGTGAGTGGCAACTGACCCGTCCTTTTAATCTTCCCTCCAGAGGTCAACAGAGCAAATGAGAAAAGTCCCGACTATCGTCCTCTCAATCACATACAAGGGTGTGAAGTTTATCGACGCAGCCAACAAGGTTAGCGACTACACACATGCGCACACACACGTACATACACATTTTCTCTTTGCGTAAAGGTTTACTTCTTAACCAGACGTGTTCTTTGAGGCGTGTGATACATCAAATTGAGGCCGGGGCAAATGACAGCATGTTTCCTTTTTTAATGTGTGCATGAAAGTGACGCAGTCAGACATCAAGCTTCCTCTCTTTCTGTGATTGTAAATATCATGCTTGCAAGTTTGTGTCAGATTAGTTTGTGCTTATATTCCCTTATAGGAAGCAAATCTGATTGACATTTAGTTGACATTAATAAAAAAAGGCTTTGAAATGTTGAAGCTCAACATGGTCGTGTTGTAGTTGCACTTGTGATGGCTGACAGTCAGTGTCTCTCCTTTAACTGTTTAGTTTTTTTTTTATTTTGTAACATTTTCTAACAGCATTATTTTCTCAATGTTGATGGAATGAAATAAAAATTTAAAAAAATGAAAGAACGCACTGTGTACTCTCGTTACTAAACCTCACTCATGTCGCCCTTCTCGGTCCAGAACATCATTGCAGAGCACGAGATCCGTAACATTTCTTGTGCAGCCCAGGACCCAGAGGACTTGTGCACATTTGCCTACATCACTAAGGACCTGCAGACCAGCCACCATTACTGCCATGTCTTCAGCACAGTAGATGTGGTAAGGACACTTGTACTGGGCTCTATTGTACTATAGATGGTATAAAAGATGATTGTGTGATTGTGCTGTCACCCATCGCCCTTGAAACTTTTATATGCTGGCGTTTTAGAGCCAGACGTCATCTTACAAAGATGGGAGGGTGGGGGGTTTACTTAGCAGCTAGCGCTCATGGCATGCAAGCAGGCATGCAATATAGAGACACACATACAGGCTAATTAATGTAAGAAACAGATGGACATTAGAGCACAAACTTCTTGGATGGTCAGCACCACACAGAAATGAACAGTATTAGTCATGTAATCAATTAGAAATGTTCTAAAACTCACCAGTAGTAGTAAGCACACGGTGAAGAGCTCCAGTTTAGTACTTCAGAATGAGTCCTCAATTATTATGTTGTTATTAAATTGTTATGAAGGGGGAAACAATCCACAGAAGCCAAAATATTTTTTGTACCATACTGTAAAATGTGACATTTTAACATGGAAGTCTGTCATTTTTGGAGCCAGCTTCAAGCTTTGCACAGAGGAACTGCAGTTTTTGTACTTCTGGAGTTTCTCCCCCGTGTTCAAAACAAAGTACAGATTTATCTTCTAGTTATGTCAGCTTGCAGTTTGTCTGCTTATTCAGGGAACCAGTGGGCCTTGAACAGTAGTAGTAGCTCAGTGTGTATTTTACGTGTAGTTGTTTTTTTTCCCTGTGTAATAATATTCAACATTGCTATCAATACATTTTTCAAAAAATGCCTCTCTGTGCAAAATGGGTTCAAAAACATAAACAACTGTGGGATCCTGTTTGTCTGTGTCTGATATTATTTGTATCCCACTGTAACTTCACTGTATAAAGAGCTAACATCTCCAAAATGTCAGGAGTAGTTAGTCATTACAAGAAGTGTTTGTGAGCTAAAAATCAAGAATGTGGGATACTGTGTCCGTGATTTGGAGAGCCCAGCGCTGCTCCCGACGCAGGAAAAACCAATTCTGCTGTGGAGACCTACCTGGCACTTGTGCAGGTGAAGCCAAAGGGAAGATATGCTTCATCATATTTTCTAGTCTTTGACTTGGAAGGATGTTGGTTTGAAAACCTATTTGGCAATGCTTCATCTCCTGCTTTGCGTTTGTGTGGCAGCCCCGTCAGAAACCTGTCCGTTATGCTAGTAGTAGCTTGACAAGGGTTTTCAGCTGCAGACAGTAATGTTTTTGTATTTGATTGCGGGCTGTTGGTAGTCATTAAACACTGAAACGCTATGAGTCAAATAGTTACCACAGCTTTGCCGTGTCCCTTCTGCTACCGAAAGTGTCCATATGAATCTCCTTTATTTGGTTATTTTAAACTGCACTGACTATATGGCTGCTTTCAGGGTCCGCCTGGCACAATCGTCACTACACGAGAGATGTTTCTGCGTATTGGTGTACATGGAGTGCTTTATCTCAGGGCAGGTTACTACATCAAAGGATATAAAGAGGATTTCACAGCTCTGTGTTATGTGTCTCTTCAAATGATGATTGTTGTTCCCACCATAGGATTGCTTTTTCAGACTCCCAAGGCATAACGTATAAAGCATGAATCATCTGTCTTTAGTCTGCAGAGCTTGTTCGTACCTGGGAGCTGTCAGGGTAAAACAGAATAATCCAGCAGCTTTATTACTGAGCTACAGAGGATGGATCTAGTTTAGGAACAGGGGGTTGCTGCACAATACTCCTGAGATTACTGCCACTCCTTCAGCTTATGCAATTTTGTTTTGAAGAAGTTTTGGAGGAAAAATCTTTCTTCTGTTACGTTTTGCTGTCTCGCTGCACACTGTGATGGTGGTGGTCCTTTGGCTAAAGGCTTGGAATGACTCAGTGATCCTCCTCTTTCTCCCTTTCTGTATAGAACCTGACCTATGAGATTATACTGACACTGGGCCAGGCGTTTGAGGTAGCATATCAGCTGGCTCTGCAGGCCCAGAGGACCAAACCGCACCAGAGCGTCCCAGCTGGATCTGGATCAGAGGTCATTGAGACAAAGTCCAGCAAACCTGTGCCCAAACCACGAGGCAGCATACGCAAAACAGCGGTGAGTTGGTTGTTAAAAGTATTGTAGTAAAAACACCAAATAAAGCTGAAATATTGTTCAACGTGTTCTCAAGCAAATTTGGAATTTTAAATCCTTTTACTTCTCTGTGCCAGAAAAAAATCTTTTTGTGTTTTGTGATTACATTTGCAGCACACGCCTAATTTTTTTGGAAGCAAAAACGATGTTAGATTGCTTGCGTCAGTCTACACCTCTCGACATCACTGTGGTTATGCTATGCTGATGTCCATCTGGGCATTAGCATTAAACCATTAAGAGGGAAGCTTGTGCTGAATATAAATGAGCCAAGTCCTCCTCAGGGACAAGTCACACATTTCTAGCTGCAGCTTAATGATCACAATGATTTAACAATGTAATTCTGTTCAGTGTTTTCATCTGTGTGGCTTTTTTTTTTTTTTTTTCACATGTACATTTTTAAATGTGTTTAATCAGCACCTGAGCACACATGCACTTCATACTCAGTTACACACATCCACACCGATAAGCACACATAAGCTTCAAAATGCACCTGCAGTGTCTTCTGTGTTGTGTGCGACCTGTCAGAGTCCTCATCTGTCATGCCTGTTAAAATCTGTGTCCCTTTTCCCGCCCTTTAAGTTCTTTGACTCTGTCGCTGCTTCGTCCTGGTTCTTTGTGCACTTTCCCTTTTCTCTTCTAATCTTCGTCTCCGTCTGGCTCGCTTCTCTTCCTCCTGGTGGTGTTTATTCCTCCCAGGACTCTCCTCTTCCTCTCGACAGTCGTTGCTGTTACTGTTACACCTGCACCAACCACCGTCCCTCCTTCCTACCGCTGCACTCTGCCAGCCATGCTGCCCAGGTGCTGCCTCCTATCCCATCCCCACCCTTCTCACCCACTCGTTGTTGTTGTTTTGTTTTGTTTTTTTTGCCTTCCTGTCACAGCTTATTTTCTCTGACTTTCCTGAAAAGCCCGTAAACTTTTTTGTCTGTTTATTTCACTATATTTTCTCTGCTATATGTTGAAAACTACAAATCATGATATATACTGTTAACTCCAACGCCCTCTAGTGACACGCTTGTAGTAAGACAGACAAAGTTTATATACTGTACACAGAATTCTTTTTGGGTCTTTTTACTTAATTTAAACTTTTACAGGGTTTTTTTAAGTCCCTTTATGATATACATAGAGAAAATGTTATTATGTTTTATCAATAAAAAGCCAGCAAAATTGGCTATTTACTAATTACTCCCAAAAGTGCTCAGCAAAATGAGAACCAGGAAAAGTTAAAATTGCAAATCTCATAGACCCATATTTTTATTGACATCTGAACACGCAAAACATTTTAACTGTTTACACTGAGAAAAACATAAGGTCGTTTTCTGGGAGATGAGGAAACCAGTTGCCGGACTTTCAGCAGAGAAATGTGTCCCATTCTTGTTTATTGTATTGTTTTTAGCTGCTCAGTAGTTCTGTCTTCTTTGTTGTATTTCATGGTGTGTCAACTGTTTTTAATTGTGAAAGGTCTGAACTGCAGTTCAGCACCGAAGCTATGCGGCTGTAACAGATGAAGTATGTGGTTTGGTTTAGTTTAGTCGAACTATGCAAGGCCTTCCCTGAAAAAGACGTCATCTGGACGGAAGCACGTGTTGCTCTAAAACCTGTAGATACCTTTCAGTAATAATGTTTTGCCATGTGTGCAAGCTGCCTATTTCATGGGAACGATCCACCCACATACCATGAGAGATGCAGGCTTTTAAACTGAGCACTGACGGTCCCTCTCCTCCAGAGGACTTTTCATCTGTGTTTTCTAAAAAGAATTTTAAATTTGGATTTGTCTGACCACATGACAGTTTTCCAAGTTGCCTCAGAGCTTTGGCTCAGAGAAGATGGCAGTGCATCACATAGTACTTCTGATCTTTTGAGCCCCAACTATTCTGAGAAGTGTTGCTGCCATCAAATTCAAAATGACTTAATGTTTTTCATGAAATAGTAAAAAGTTAAAAACCTTTTTGTCTAATATAATAAATAAAATATGGGTTTATGAGATCTGCAAATCATTGCATCCTGTTTTCTTTACATTTTACGCAGCATTCCAACTTTCTTGCGATCGGGGTTGTAATTTTATGATAATTGATGGATAGGTGTGATGCTGCATCGTTTATGGAATCTGTTTAAACACAAACATCAACACTTTCATGGGTAAATGTGGTTAAATTTCACCACAAACAATTACACTTTGTTGGCACAATAATACTTCATTGCTGCATTTTGAATCTAAGCATTACAAAAAGTGTAATCAGCCTCGTATGTGAAGATTCAGATATTTCATTGCTGTCTGTTTGTACTCACAGGGGGACATCGTGGACCAGGAAGGCGATTCTCAGTCCCAGGGTAGTGCCACGTGGCTCATGGACCCCAAGGAATCCAAGCGCACTATCAGCACTAAGTACGAGACCACCATTTTCTGAGTGGACCTCTCTTCCTCCTGGGCTCAGCCTCACCCTCCTTCCTTCCCCTCCTTCTGTGTGCCTTTCACTGTGACGCTGCCTCTTTCTCCGCGCTGGACCTCTGCTCCTCCCCACCGCCATCACTTGTTTCCTCCTCCGACAACACCACAGTCTGTGGCAACTGACCAGCTGTTGCCCCTTCTTATGTTTAACTCCCAGCACCTTTACACTTTTTCTCAATTATTAATGCAACCCCTCCACCTCGCCCACCGTCTTCTAGCTGTCTAGTTGGTATCTCTTCTACTGTGAGCCTGCCACTCACTTTCCCTTTTACTCCTCCTTTCTGTTTACTTTATATGCTTCCTCCAACAATGCTTCCCCCTTTTTTTTTTTTCTTTTTTTTTTCTTCCCAACTGTCAACATCCCACTCTTTACTCTTGGTGATAAGCTCTCTCTTTTCTTAATGCTTTTCTTGCTCTGTTAGGCGACGGCCGCTCTGAGGCTTTTCACTCTGACGTTCCAACTCCTGACTTCACCGAGTGCTGAGAAAACTGATTTTTACCACAGCCAAGAGTGACCCACTGCACACATCCCGTACCTGGATGGACACGTTTCCTGAGGAAACTGTGAAACCGATCCTGTAATTCTATGCATCAGTCGGACTGTAGCATGTTTATGTTCGCAGGGATGCAGGTGTTATTGAGGTTAAATAAGATCAATTAAGGGCAAGGCTTTTTTTTCTTCTTCTTCTTCTTACGGTCAGCTGCCTGCTTAAAGCCAAAAGAGGCCAAGATCCTAGCACTGTGATATGATCCTTTTGATGCTAATGAAGTAAGCATTTTGGGGTGGGGTTTCTAGAGAGCATCAGAGGGACAGAATAGGGCACAGAGGCAGACATGGATCTGCATGTTAGTGGTCCTTGCTCCAAAAAAAACAGCTCAAACGAATTCAAAACTGGCATGCCGTCAACTATCAGTCAGGATTTAAACTCAATGCTTCGTCTAGAGTGAACTAACTACACCTAAGCACTTACATAAAATCCTCAAGTTTGAAAGAATAAGTGCATTTTCCTCTTTTTTTTTCCTTTCACAACAAATGCCTTCAGTGTTCATCCTGTCAGCATTGCCTTTCCCCCCCAGTCGTACCAGGTTAATGTTTCACAGATGCTTGGTGAAAAGAGTTAATCATTACGAAGGACTTAATCCATCACTATAGTGCTGTTTGTGTCCATCGGTTTTACTTAATTTTAACTCCACTGCTTTGTGTGCGTGTGTCTGTGTCCCTTCCCTGTAGCTGACACTGTGGCCAATCCCAGACAGTGAGAAAAGGACAGGAATGAGCCCTGTTGAGTGGTGGGTAGGATGTTTTGCTGGATCATTGCCCCACTTCTCACCGAGCAGATCACATCAGCAGTCGGATTGTGCCCACAGTTACACACGGGCCTGGAGAATAAGACGGATGTAAACCTTTCGCCAACGCAACACGCTCCCCCGGTTCATCAGACTTCTCCAACTTCATCACCCTGCACGCACGCACGCACGCACCCGCCTCCATTTAACTTCTCGATGCTCAGAAAAGTGATGGTTGTTCCGTGCGACATTAGAGACGGATGTGTTTGTTGTGTTGCGTGCATTTCCTCCGAAATGAACCATCACGTCCCTCACTGAGAGTTGGTGTTTATCGTTTCAGGAAATGTACCTGCCGTTTTCAAAGCAGAACTTGTAGTTAAAGGGGAAGTTGCTGCAGAGATGAGGAACATTCACTTTTTATTATGAAACAAACTGTCAGACGAGAGACCTCACACTGTAGGGTACGCACTTCTTCCTGGGTTGTTTGTCCTGTATCCAAACATTTTAGCTGCTTTCATCACCGTCAGCTTGCATACATGTGTAACTGTGATAAAACAATGTAATCTTGCATGGGAGGAGCTCTCTTACCAAACTCAAGGGGCAAAGAAACTGACACTAAAAGACTGTTTTATATTGAAATAACGGGGGATGGCGTTTATTTTACTTTTTGCGTGTGTATGCGCGCGTGTGTGTGTGTGGGTGTGTGTGGGTGTGTGGGCGTTTACTTTTTTATAGGACTATGATTTGTCCTAATGCTGGAACTGGATCAGGTGTGGTTCTTTCTCTCCTTCCCTGCCCCTTTGTTCAGTTAATCTCGACAAGATTATTCACCAAACCTGCCATGCAGGCTGGTACGACTCTAGATTTATAGCTGCAGACAAGAACAATAGGGCACGGCATGTTTCTCTAGCTAACTCCTAATATGTTGACTGTTAATGGTACTGTTTGGTCCACCAATCTGTATATGGGTGCATAGTCGGCTCATTTTGATTTAACTCTTGTATATGTGGTACATTTTTATCCGGCCAGTACGATAACTCTATGGTACACTGTCTTCAGCGCGCTGGTGTCAGCACCTTTAGCCATCAGCCTGGTCCTGCTCTGCTTTTGCACATTGCTGAGGATCAGGAAAGATATTTTGGGACTAATCTGATGACAACAATGATGAGAATGATCTTGTACATGAATCTAGCGGTCTGTATTTTGATACTTGAATGATTTTTGTTTTTATAGATATCTATATATATATATATGTATGTATATGTATGTATGTATGTACGTATGTAATTTTTGACACTTGTCAAAAAAGAGAAAAGGACTATGTCTTATAAAGTTAAACATATCGTGAATAAATACCCTGTGATTAAAAAAAAAAACATTAAAAAAAAGAAGGCTGAGAACATGACTCAGAAGAGGGACCTCACTTCAGAGAAAAAGATTGTAAATAATCTTGGGCTTCCAGTCTTTTTTTATGATTATTTTTCATAATTGTACAACTAATAAATGGTACAGTTAGAATCGTTGTCTCTGGATGTTTATTAGGACATTCTTTGTTCTTGTTTTAACGGCTCTTCCTCCAAATTTGGGTAAATTTCTGATGGATTTACAGTTCTGTTGCAGTCTTTAAGGGTAAGTGACGCATGAGTGTCGATGCATTCAGAGTATCTCGATTTGGCTCAGGGCAGCCGAGGTTAGTGGACGTCTTCCAATGAAATGTTTGCTCTCCACCCCATCTCCACATCATAAACTTCTCTGCAACAGCTCAGTGGATTTACAAAGGAAATCTGTATTACAGCTGCTTCTTCTGTCAGTCTATTTAAAAAAAAAAAAAAAAAAAAGTTCATTAAATCAGAACAAAGAGAAACTTTTTATTTGAACTGAAGTTCACTTTTCAGCACAGGATTATAAACACAACAGTTTTGCTTTTCTTTGCCCCTTTGACCTCGGTCACCTTCAGTTTTATTACTGCTGTCACCTTTTAAACCTTACATGACCCATATTGTGTTTTTGACTTTGTGTTCATGTTTAGCTTTATCTGCTCAAGTTAATTTAAATATTGCAAAGGTTTGAAATTGCCCCAACTTCTGGTTGTGCTTTGACAATTATTTTTTATCTTTGTTATGAGGGAAATGAGTCAGAAGAAAATTGCTGCAGCTATAATTCGAATGCCAGCTGCGGTGAAATGTCAACATCAAGACGTTGATGTGTTTACTCAAAATAATTATTACATTTGTGAGTATAAAATGAAATAGACTTTTAATGTCGACTGAATAGAAGTTCTAATGTTGGTTTTGGGGGAGAAAAGGCAAATCTCACTCAGTTTATTTAACAAAATATTTAAGCAAGTGATTGAAATACCTGATGTTTTCCGTGTATTACAAAGTATTTCCAATTAAACTTAAGTTGTTCATTGTTTTTAGCTGCAAATTCAACTGGCAAGAGTGAATTCAGTTTGTTCTGTAATCTAAGTAATGAGTACGTCTTTAAAAAATGTCAAACTATGGCTGCATCTTTGATGTGACTGCTGGCATGGGGAAAAAAAAAGTACTAGCAGCGGCCCAATGACAGATGAGATGATGGAGATGTTTACACATCTGTCACAGACATATGCTGCTGTTCCTGGAAAACAGATGCTGACTGTGAGATCTGATCCACAGATGTTCTGCTTTGCTCACAGAAATCACACAGACTGTGTGTGGTATCTGGCCTGTAAAAATGGAAAATATTATTACTGAAATAAATGTTTGGTGGTAGTAATTTTGCAATCAGATGCTGAGAATCTAGGTTACCTTGTATTCTCACAGAAGTTGTGTTGTAGTCATGTTGGTCAGGCAGGCTGAAATAGCTCCACATCTACTGGATGGATTTCCCTTGCATTTCCCACAGATACAAATGTCCTAAAGCAACAGTCTTTAATGGCTCTGATTAACCTCTTAATTTTCTGAGGTTGACACACTCATGTTTTAGTATTAATTGCAGTGAAAATTGATGCAGATGTTCCTGTTCCCCTCAAGATTGTTCAATTTTGATTTGGCAACAAATCAAACTTTCTTTTTGTGCTGTAATTTCCTGCTTCTTCTGCTACTCAGCGATAAAAATCTTAGAAACGTGGTGTCAAGCCAGATACTTACTCTGGATGGCATTACATTGGCTTCCAGTAACACTGAGAGGAACCTTGGAGTCATTTCTGACCAGGATAGATCTTTCAGTGTTCATATTACACAAATATCTAGGACAGCATTGTTGCAATTGTGCAATATCTCAAAATTAGAAACGTGCCGTCTCAGAGTGTTGCTGAAAAATTAGTTCATATGTTATTACTTGTAGACGGCAATATTACAATTCATTATTTTCAAAACTCCCTGAAAAGCCTTCAGTTGAGCCGAAATGCTGCAGCAAGATAACTGATGGAGCACATTTCTCCCATACTGGCTTCTCTTCATTGGCTGCCTGTTAAATCCAGATATCCTGCTCCTCGCACACAAGGTTTTGAATAATGAGGCTCCATCTTATCTTAAACACCTCATAGAACTGTACCACCCCAACAGAGCACTTCGCTCTCAGACTCGCGGTTCCTAGAGTATTTAAAAGTAGAATGAGGGGCAGAATGTTCAGCTTTCAGGCCTCTTGTCTGTGGAAACAGCTCCCAGTTTGGATTCGGGAGACAAAAACACCCTTTCAAATTTAAAGATAAATCTCTATTTGATGAAGCTTATAGTTACGGCTGGATCAGGTGAGCCCGAATCCTCCCTTAGTTATGCTTCAATAGGCCAAATCTTCCAGGGGCTTCCCACGATTCAATTCAATTTTATTTATACAGCTTTATATTGTAAGGTAGACCCTACAATAATACATTGTGAGAAAAACCCAACACTCATAAGACCCCCCTGAGCAAGCACTTTGGTGACAGTGGGAAGGAAAAACACTCTTTTAACAGGACGAAACCTCCAGCAGAACCAGACTCAGGGTGGGGCAGCCATCGGCCACGACCGGTTGGGGAGAGAGAAGGAAGACAGGATAAAGACATGCTGTGGAAGAGAGCCAGAGATGAATAACAAGTATGATTCAGTGCAGAGAGGTCTATTAACACATGAGTGAGAAAGGTGGCTGAAGAAGAAACACTCAATGCATCATGGGAAACCCCCAGCAGCCTACACCTATTGCAGCATAACTGATCCAGCCCTAACTATATGCTTTAGCGAAAAGGAAAGTTTGAAGCCTAATCTTAAAAGTAGAGATGGTGTCTGTCTCACGAATCCAAACTGGAAGGTTTGGATGTACTGAGTATTTTTCACTCACTATGTGTTTATACACCGCTCTGCACTTATCATCACTTATTATTAAACCGTGGCTCTTTTCCACAGCTTGTCTCTAGCCATGCCTCCCTCTCCTCATCCACAACAGGTGGCGACAATGGCCGCCCCTCCCTGAGCCTGATTCTGTTAAAGGGTTTTAAAAGGGAGTTTTTTCCTTCCCACTTTTGCCAGGTGCTTGCTTATAGAGCCTCATCTGCTTGTTGGGGTTTTGCTATTATTGTAAATTATATTGTATTATTCATGTTTTTTATATTATATTGTATTATTGTAGCGCTTTTACTTTACAAGTAAAGGGCTTTGAGACTACTTTTGTGATGTGGCGCTATGCAAATCCAATTGAATTACAATATATTGGTTTAAATATGTTATTGACATGCGTATATATACTTATATATAGTGTTATAATAACTTAATATAAGTGACAGTATTCCACGCAGAAAAGTAAAAGGTGAAAAATCATTTGAGGTTTCGCTCGTTTTACTGCTGTTCTCCTATTGGCTCTTCCTTGGAAAAGTCTCAGTCGCCCAGTTCTCTGATTGGCCACAAACCAACCTGTGCGGAAGTTAATTGCCTCACCTGGCCGTAAGCCTCTCACACCTCTCCCGTCTGTCACTACCAGTCGCATAGTTTTACTTCCAGGAACAGCGCTGTCGGGGGAGTGAGGTGCACCGCAGCTATGGACTGACAGCAGCGCAGTTTCACCGACCTTTCTTGCGCATATCTGGTAAGTTATCAGGAAACTGTCCTCTTAAAAGCGTAATGTGCTCGTTTAGGGTGAAATCATGGGTTACAATGGAGGCAACGACGAAATAAAGTTGTGTGAAAGCTCGTAAGTCTACTTTATGAAAATACAGTGATCATTTAGAGTGGTGCGTGTGTGTAAGTGTGTGCGCTCGATTTGTTCAGAGCAGATTTTACCATCAGGTGTAACATAATGTTTTTGTGTTTGTTTGTTTTTTACTTAGTTTGTAAGTTTTGACCCTGGAGTGTCATTTTGTGTCTGTTCGGGTGGAGGAGAGTGCAGCAGGAATAGAGAGACGGGTAAGATATTCAGCAAAAGACTAACATCAGTATCAGA